TACACCTGCACCACCTGTGTACACCTGCACCACCTGTGTACACCTGCCCCACCTGTGTACACCTGCACCACCTGTGCACACCTGCACCACCTGTGTACATCTGCACCACCTGTGCACACCTGCACCACCTGTGTACACCTGCACCACCTGTGCACACCTGCACCACCTGTGTACATCTGCACCACCTGTGCACACCTGTACCACCTGTGTACACCTGCACCACCTGTGTACATCTGCACCACCTGTGCACACCTGTACCACCTGTGTACACCTGCACCACCTGTGTACACCTGCACCACCTGTGCACACCTGCACCACCTGTGTACATCTGCACCACCTGTGCACACCTGTACCACCTGTGTACACCTGCACCACCTGTGTACACCTGCACCACCTGTGTACATCTGCACCACCTGTGCACACCTGCACCACCTGTGTACACCTGCCCCACCTGTGTACACCTGCACCACCTGTGTACATCTGCACCACCTGTGTACACCTGCACCACCTGTGTAACACCTGCACCAACCTGTGTACAACCTGCACACACTGTGTTACATCTGCAAACCTGTGCACACCTGCACCACCTGTGTAACTGCACCACCTGTGTACATCTGCACCCACCTGTGCAACACCTGCACACCTGGTATTCCCACCTGTTGTAACCTGGCCCACCTGTGTAATCTAATCTGTTACACCACCTTGGTACTAGAATACCCAGGTACTATGCACACTAAAATCTGAAGGTATACAACCCTGCAGCTGTATATACACTGAGGGATATATACACACCTGTGTGTATATCCACAAGCCTGTGTGTATATCCTGCGCCCAAAGTATTATCATACATGAATCTGAGGGATATACACACACCTGTGTGTATATCCTGAGCCCAGAGTACTATCATACATAAATCTGAGTGTTATCACAAGCCTGTGGTATATCCTGACCCAAGTATATTAACATAATTGAGGATATACACACACCTGTGTGTATATCCTGAGCCCAGAGTACTATCATACATAAATCTGAGGTATATACACACACCTGTGTGTATATCCTGAGCCCAGAGTACTATCATACATAAATCTGAGGTATATACACACACCTGTGTGTGTATTCTGAGCCCAGAGTACTATCATACATAAATTGGGCCTATCCAGCCAAAGCTGCCATCTATCTGCCATAACGGTGACAATTGAGGTATATCCACAACTGGGAAAATAATCTAGAGGAGATTCCATATTACTGCCATCTAATGGGTATCAGAGATAAACTACATGCACAGTAAGAACTCTAGAGAGCTGCCATCACTGCCACAACTGGGTGACAGAGCTCTAGAGAGCTGCCATCACTGCCACAACTGGGTGACAGAGCTCTAGAGAGCTGCCATCACTGCCACAACTGGGTGACAGAGCTCTAGAGAGCTGCCATCACTGCCACAATTGGGTGACAGAGCTCTAGAGAGCTGCCATCACGCCACAACTGGGTGACAGAGCTCTAGAGAGCTGCCATCACTGCCACAACTGGGGTGACAGAGCTCTAGAGAGCTGCATCACTGCCACAACTGGGTCAGAGCTCTAGAGAGCTGCCATCACTGCCACAGCTGGTGACA